CCTTGGAATAATTTTTCCTTGATGAACCATTTAGAACTGACTTCTGAGTCTTGCAGTGGTCTACCCCAACTTTTGAATTTTGAAAGATGTGCCCTTCAATCTCCAGGATCTGGAGGAAGTACCCTCATAAAAAACTCATACCTCACCATGAACTTGCCATAAATTTCCCCAAGTATTCAAAGCTTGAAAAGTTTGTACTTGAAGTTGCTAGAAGGGGAATTTGGACCCTACGTACAGTAGGATAAACTTGGTGCGTACTACCCCAACATTTGAATCTTGGTAGGTTGCCCCTGATTATCAAGGCCTTGAGAGGTTTGTTAAAATGAGAAAACCGAGTCATACCATGTTGTGATATGACCTGATTAAAGAATGCTCCTTCGAAAGGTATGCCCCTGATTGAACAATGCTTTGAATTTTGATTGAAGTTGATTAAATCTCGGAATGATCACCCCATGTCAATAGTATCTTCATGTGATATACCCCTACGATCAATAGTATTTTCCCCTGTCTATAGGGATCCTCTTATATGCTTTTCCCCTAGTTAGAAGCTTCTTGGAAATGCTTCCTTTAATCAGACCTTTTTGAAATCTCCTTGATGCTAAGTATTGACTTGTAAGTAAAATTGTCCTCTTTGAAAAGTAATCCTAATGTATGGTTATGCAAGTTCTTGAAATCGTAATTTATTATTTGAAAAGTAATCCTAATGTATGCATATGCAAGTTCTTAAAATCGTAATTGATTATTTGAAAAGTAATCCTAATGTATGCATCAGTAAAATTCGATTATTTTTGTATTTTCATCATTCTCCCTCGAAGTTTGTTAAAGTTGTGTAATGGAAGATAGAAAAGAAGAATAAAAAGTCGTTGATTATTTATGGAATGGATCAATTACAAAATCATGCATGATTGTTTATTCGAATTACTGATCACAGAGTACAAAGTTTATAACAAATAACACTTAGCAAGAAAGAAATTACATATGATAAAACCTAACTATCCTAGGGATGAGCTTCTTTAGTGATCCACCAATCAGGGCGAGGGATCTTCCACCATATGCAAGTCATCTTCTTAAAAAGTTAATTTCTTATTGTCAATCATCTCTTGTACCACTTCTTTGAATGAATTGCATTCTTCAATCGAATGTCCTGCTACTCCATCATGAAACTCACATTGAACATCCGAGTTGTACCAAGGAGGAAATGAAGACTTCATGGATCTAGTTTGTCTAGGGGTCATTGATGAATTTTGGACCAGATATGACCATAATTGACTGTATGTCCTAGGGATCAGATCAAACTGGCGAGTTCCCTCTTCTTGGCAGTTTGGAGGCCTATGTTGATTCAGGCGTTGATGGTGATTGTTTTAATTCTGAACCTGTCGATTCTGAAGTCGATGTTGAGGTGAAATCTTTGCCTACTGGTTCTATGGTATAGGCCATGATTGTTGGTGTTGAAGACTAGAGGGTGGTTGCTGGTATTGAGCATCTACTGCATACGAACATTGATGATAAGGCACAGGAGGCAGAGTTTCTGGAGCTTGGTAAGTTTCCCATATTGCATTTGTTTCATTTTTTTTCTTCCCCTTGGAAATCTCTAAGGGATTCACTAGTCGGCTTACTCGAGATGCTTCGGATTTTTCCATTTTTAATGTCGTTCTCGATGCGTTCCTCAATCATTACTAGGTCAGAGAAGCGTGTCGACACACTGCCCAACATTTTTTCATAATATTGACCTTGTAGGGTGCTCATGAACATGTCTACCAACTCCTTATCCAATAATGGCGGTTGTACTCGAGCAGCTAATTACCTCCATCTCTGTGCGTATTCTCTGAAGGATTCGTTACTCTTCTGAGATAAAACTTGCAGTTGCATGCAACTTGGAGCCATGTCAGTGTTGTATTAATAATGCTTCTGAAATGCCAAAGCCAAGTCATTCCAGGTAGGAACCTGGTTTCTAATTGCGTATACCATTCCAATGATACTCCACTAAGACTGTCTTGAAAACAATGGATAAGTATTTTTTCATCGCGTGGGTATGCTGCCATTTTCCTGACATACATCTTCAAATGAGTCTTATGACAAGTATCTCCTTTATACTTTTCGAAATCTGGCATCTTAAACTTCGGAGGAAATATCACGTCCTTCCCAATCAACCCTCGACCTCAGATGCCATGGTTGAAGTTCTTTGGACTCCTCCCTATTCTGGTTGGATAAAGTGCAACATTGATTGTGTGGTTGCTGACTCTCTTTTGCTTTCTGCCTGTGGCAGAATTTTCAGAGACGACAAGTCCAACCATTTTCCTAGTTGTTCTGCTTTCCTGGGTAAAGGTTCTCATGTTTTTGCTGAATTCATGGCAACAATCTTCGCCATTGAAAAAGTCAAAGAGTTAAGGTGGTCAAAACTTTGGTTGAAAACTGATTATATCTGTGTTTTGAATGCGTTTTCGAATCATAATTTGGTGCCTTAGAAGATCAAATCTTGTTGACTTACGTGTTGGGTGAATACTCTTAATATCAATTTCATAATAACTTATATTTTCAGAGAAGCCAATTTTTGTATGGATTCCTTGACTAATATCAATTTAAAGAGTAACAGTTCACTTGTTATAATTTTATTCATAATATTTTTATTTCAGATTACTTGATACTCTTAAGATAAGAATTTATTTTTAAGAGGTTTTGGTTTGGTCCCCTCTTGTGTTTTCTGTAATCCTTTTCTTTTAGTTTTAATATATTTTAGTTTATTAAAAAAATGTATTTTTTTGGTTAACATGTTTTAGTTAGGTATTCTTTTGGTTGAATTTTTTTTAGATAAGTTAGGTAATACTACTAAAACTTGTCAAAAAAATATATATACGTATCTCAGCTTTCAAGGCGGCATTAACGGTAAAGAGAAAGAGAGTTGATATTACAAAATAAATGAACCGCAAGTAAGGCAACACCACCAACTTCATACCATTCACAATTTCACTTCCAAACACGTCGCAACTCACAAGCTACATATTTACCCCACAATTCTCTCATTTCAGGAAAAAGTTCCTTCTCCTCTCTCCAACATAATTGCATCACGCTTCTTACAAAAAACAATTAAATAATGTCACATTCTTCACCTCGCATTTCTCGCACCTTTAAAATATATTTTTTTAGAAATTATGTCAATATTTTATATTCTATATTTTTTTCTTTTATCGGTAAAAAACAAATTAAAATGAGATATATTTTATATAATGTTAAAATATCACTTTTTAATTTGAGTTGAAATATCCGTATTAGACTTGCATGACTTAGAATGTCATTTTGATATTTTAGTATCTTAAGTACTTTTCATATACTCATTTAAATTTAAGCTTTCCGTATTAATGCAATTTGACTTGTTAATCTATGCATTTTGATTTATTAATGAAACTTTTAAGTTTAGAAAACTCTTCCCAGCGAGATTTAACGATTTAGATTTGGTGATATGTTCATAATTTTATTACATTTCGTCTTTAAATTTTGCTGTTTTTATTTTTTTATAAAATTAATGAGTTAAATAAAATGATTTTTTATGAAATAGTATGACAAAATCTAAGCTAGATAGTTATATATTGACAATAAAATTAGTATCCATGAGTATTTGAAGATAATCTATTTTAATTGAGTTTATATTTGAGTTTTTCTCAATTTTAAAAAATGTAAAATAAAATTATTATAAAATATTAATGTTCATCTTAAATTCAATTAGAAAATTAAAAATATTTATAGGCTTAAATGCAGTTTTGACCCCCCTAGTTTAAGGTTTTTGGAGTTTCGATCCTCCTAGTTTAAAAGCCAGGTTTCTAGTCCCCAAAGTTTTCAAATTTGGGATTTTTGAAGTCCCCTCCATCTGGCTACCCAAAAAGTGACATGGCACAGGGAGAGTAATGCCACAGTATTATTTTTTTTTTTATTTTTTTTAAAAAAAAAAATTTTTTTTTCTTCTTCTCATGGACAAAATTAAGGTTCGAAAGAAAAAAAAAATTTTTTTTTAAAAAAATAAAAAATAAAAAAAAATACGTGACATTATTCTCCCTGTGCCATGTCACTTTTTGGGCAGCCAGATGGAGGGGGTTTCAAAAATCCCAAATTTGAAAACTTTGGGACTAGAAACCTGACTTTTAAACTAGGGGGATCGAAACTCCAAAAACCTTAAATTAGGGGGGTCAAAACTGCATTTAAGCCATATTTATAATATCATCATGCTAACTAATTTATCATGAATTTCAAAGAGAAATAATTAATTTTGTTTGTAACGCATTAAAAATATATTTAAAAAATAATAATTAATTTTGTTTGTAACGCATTAAAAATATAATTTTTTTTAAATTATCTTTTGAATCTTTTAAAGAATATTTAAATTAGTTTTTTAATCTTTTATTAATAATTAGTATGTTGGAAGCACTCGTTACCACTTCTCCATTAATAAATTGAAATTTAATTTGCATTTTATTAATTAAAATATTTAATTTTTATGTTAATATTTTGTAGAATTACGTTATTTTAATATTTCTAATGAATGTTAATGTTAATTAGAATTTAAAATATATTTCATTTATTTATTTTTAAATAATAAATTTAATAAACTCAAGTTACTAAACTATTTAAAAAAAATATATGTGGTTTAGAATACTTGAACGGTTTGAACTTAAAATAACTTATTATGATGCAGGATGGAACAGACATACTCAAAATTGTCATAGCTACATATTGTTGATTTTTATTTACTGTAAGCTTGTACTATATTGTTGTGAGAAAATCCATATATTTAATTTAATGCCAAATAACTTCAATTTTGACCCATTACATTACATTTAAGAATTTTTTTCCATACATAAAATTACACGAATATTCAAAAAGAAAAATAAACATTACATCACACGGCTAATTAAAATGATAATAATAAAAACACTTATTATCTTAAACTTTTATTCGAGTGTGCAAGCTGAGTTTGTTGAGCATATTTTAGTTCCAAACCTATGAGTTTTTCAACCCTGAACCGGCACACTATGAAGAACAACCGTCTCAACAGTCAAACCCGGTCCAAACCCAAACAAAACCCCCCACTCCAACCCTTCACCGGTAGTAACCTTCCCTTCTTCCTTAGACCGCTTCCTCATTTCATCCAAAATAAACAAAACACAAGCACTAGACATATTCCCATACTCACTAAGCACATGCCTAGTAGACCGGAGTTTCTCTTCCTTCAACCGGAGTTTCTCCTCAACCTGGTCCAAAATAGCCGGTCCACCCGGATGCGCAACCCAAAAAATCGAGTTCCAATCATTTATCCCAATCGGTTCAAAAGCCTCAACCAAACTCTTCTCAATGTTCTTCGAAATAATCCCAGGAACATCTTTCAGCAAATGAAAAGTGAGCCCCACTTCACGAAGATGTCCGTCGATGGCCCCATCCGAATCCGGAAGAATCGTCTGAGCAGCCGAAACAATCTCGAATATCGGACGTTCCACGGCTAAATCAGGATCCGCCCCGATAATCATTGCAGCGGCTCCGTCGCCGAAGAGTGCCTGTCCGACGAGAGAATCCAAATGACTCTCCGACGGACCGCGGAAAGTCACAGCAGTAATCTCAGAGCAAACAACAAGAACTCTCGAGTTCTTGTTGTTCTCAGCAAGATCTTTCGCTAGACGGAGAACCGTCCCGCCAGCGAAACAACCTTGCTGATACATCATCAGACGCTTTACAGACGGCTTAAGACCTAGTAGCTTCGTCAACTGGTAATCTGCTCCTGGCATGTCTACGCCTGACGTGGTGCAGAAAACGACATGAGTGATCTTGGATTTCGGTTGTCCCCATTCAGCTATAGCCTTTTTTGCTGCATCTTTTCCTAACTTCGGCACTTCCACCACCACAATATCTTGCCTCACATCCAGTGATGGTGCCATGAATTCACACATGTTAGGATTCTCCTTCAAAAAATCCTCAGTTAAGTGCATGTAACGTTTCTTTATCATCGATTTATCACCTGAAAATACATACATAATGATGAGGAATTATTAAATAAAATTCATTTCATTTTACATAACTATCATAGATATATTTAGGTTTATATATAACCATAGACATATCACATACACATGCGCTTAAATTTCTCTTTTAGGTCAGTCATGTGCTCGCTGTTGGTGATGCGAAAGTAGTAATCAGGATACTCAGCTTGCGTTATGCAGTTGGAAGGAGTGGCTGTGCCGAAAGCCAAGATGGTGGCAGGGCCATTGGAACGTTGAGCGTTGCGAATCTCCTCCACGGTCACCATTTTTGTATAGATTATGATTTTACCAGAACAAAGCAATGCAAGAGATTTGGTGAAGAGAAGTGGGAGAACTTGGAAGGGGAATCAGGCTTTAAGAGGCGATGATTTGGTGCTTCATTCGGAGAAATGTAACTTCCTATAAATATGATTTTGACAAGGAAATAATGTATTGGGTGGATAGTGGACACAACATGCAAAAATTTTGGAGTGAGTAGTAGGTTTGAGGGACGGACAGATGAGAGGCCACGTGTCTTAAGTATTTTGATTGATCTGTGGTACAAATAGAGCCACACAAATTTTGGTAATTACCGTACGAGAAGTGTTCGTAACTATATATGTACAAATACGAAGTATTTTGGCGTCCTTGTTTAAGGCGGGGGCAAAGGGAAATTAAGAAGTTCACGTGACGTGGTAATTAACTATGAGACCATTTGATAGGTCAAAATTTTAAACTCGATAAATTTAAGGTGTTCTCAATAATATAGAATTATTATATGTCTCTTCTCTTTATTCTTTATTTCTTTTTATTTTATAATAAAGGTAAATTTTTAGAGTGGCCACGAGTTTTAGTTGAGTAGTAAAATTTATTTAAATTTAATTTTTTAAAAATATACACCTCTCAATTCTCCTTATTCATTAGACATTATGATTAAGATTTTTTAGCTTCAAAGATTCTAAAACCTTGTTTATGATATTTGTTTGTGTTGTTGTTAGTTGTAATTTCAACGTTTAGGAAAATGTAAAATATCAAGTAAAGTTGAAGATAATATTTGATATTGACAAGCTACAGTCGATTAGGAGATCAAATGAAGACTCCGACTAAAGAGTTTAGCAAAGAATTCTCATGCTTGCGAAGTAATATCACGTTGGGACTTTTAGAGGATTTATTAGACTTAATTCGAAAGAGAATTCGACGAAGATAATTCGAAATAAGACTAGTAATCGTATTTTGGACTTATTCGTTCCTCAAAAGAGACGCGTGGAAGCCTGTGAAAGGCGAAGTCATGCAAGTGAGAATGTGTCATTTTCTGGAGAAAAGACCGTTCGTGACGATTACCGTTGAAGTAGTATAAATAGAGGTCTTATTATTAGGATTTCGGCTGTTCAATTATACCAAACTCAAAATCACTCAAAGTATTTAAGTATGTTTGAGAAAAGAGTTTTCTGAGTAACATGTACATAGGAATCACCATTTAAATCCATTGCTAAATCATTTACTTTCAATGTCATTTTAATTCCATTTAAGATTTCGTCGAAATATTTTATATTTCTGCATACTTTATATTTCTGCACTTTACAAATGGTCTTTGAATTACTGCCACTTTTAATATTTTAGTCAGGTTAAAGTGTCAATCATTAAGAAAGCATAACAAAACTAAGCACATATATTCTAGAATCAATCTAGTTGATCCTGTAAGTAATCAAAGTATCAATTTTAGAATACTAGTGGTTGCTTATCAAAATCCAAGGTAAAAAAATTGGCACGTCCAGTGGGACTATGTGCTTAAGTCACTTTACTTAGTCTTTTGAAATTTTTTTCTACACTTAGTTCTTTATACGTAGGTTTCTTAAATTTCATTGCATGAGATTGAGGAGTGGTAGGATAGTCAGAAATAAAAAACTATTACCAAAAAGAAAATACAGATACTCTTTATTCGTATTATACTGGTATTTTCTATGTTTTCAGGAATTTGATGTTTGCAAGGCATGTGCGAAGAAAGTCAAGAAAAGTCGAGCTAATCGTATTTAAAATTCGCACAAAGAAAGAGAAATTATGCAATTGAGGAGTGTGTGGCAAAATTGGATGCATTACAAGTAAAAATCCTTGGAAGTCCAAAGAAGAAACAAGCGCTGGCCCAATCCACCTAAGGTCCAAGGAGTGTAACGACCGTTACACATTCCTTAGCCCAGATGTAACGACCGTTACACCTTGCCACTCTAGCCCTTCCTCAAAAGCAAGGGGTGTAACGACCGTTACACCTTGCCACGCTAGCCCTTCCTCAAAAGCAGGGGGTATAACGACCGTTACACCTTGCCACGCCATCCCTCCCTCCAAAGAAGGAGTGTAACGACCGTTACACTGAGGCAAATCCGGAGGAGAAAATATCTCAACTCCCTGCGCATCTCCAAGCCTATAAATAGGACCTCAAATTCCCATTTTTAAAACACGCTTTCTTTTCTCTGTTTTTATTGTTACTCTGCCGAATTTTTTCCGCATTATTTCCTTTCCGTGTTATTTTGTTCACCGATCTGTGGGAGACATCCGATATTAGACAAATATTCTGCCGTGATATTTTCAGGTTTAATTTAAGTAATTTATTTATTTATGCCAGGATTGTCTAAAATGTTTAGTTTATTTAAATTGTTAGATGGTAATTATTTCTGTTGGACTGTTATTGAGTCGTTTAATATGCTAGGCTAAATTTATTTATCGGTATGTAAGGTCATATAGCCAACGGGGTTTTAGTAACGCCAATCGATCAGTTCCTTTAAAAAAAGAATAATTTTCTGGTTTCAATTACTAGTTCTAAATATTAATTGTTTTGTTACGAGAGTAAAATACAGATAGAAGTTAAGATCAATAAAACGAGAGTTTGAGATAATAACTGGACAATAGTAATTGTACATCAACTTAAAATACAGCGAGAGCGCTTTTAAGTTGATTAGGCTTTGTTTGTTTCTAAAAACTATTTTTAAACTCTAATTGAAACAGCGAGAGTACTCACTTAGGTTTGATCGTAGGATCTGAATCAATAAACACGAGAGTGTGAGAAGAGGGTTTTCAAACAGATACTTTCTACTGAAAACTGTTTTGTTAATCCGAGTTAGGTTAATGAGTTGTTGAATCCCCGAAGTCCAACCATTACATACCAATATTCTCCCTTGAATCTAAACTAGATCATAATCAGTTAGGTTCCCAAAACCCTTATTAATTACATTATTAGCCTTAGATTTACGTAGTAACCTAAGATAACGGTAGTTCGACATTTAGTCCCTTGGGATTCGATAATCTTTAAAGCTACACGCGATAGAACTATATACTTGTGGTCTAGATTCTTTAAGACTCGCAAAGTCGCGATCAATTTTTTGGTACTGTTGTCGGGGACTAAGAAGTCGATATTGTAACTCTTTTAGTTGCGCTGTAGAGACTAAGGCACCATTCCCAATTGTATGTCAAGCACTCGCTCTAAAGGTGAAGGCTTAGTGCTACCAATTTTCAAACTTGAACGCTCTATTACTAGAAGACGCAGAGTACGAGTATCTCGTACAAATCAATCCCTCTCTCAATCTTCTATTCCTACTGAACCAGTTGAAGAACTAGACATGGGTGATCAGCCACGTCCGCTCAAATCTCATGTTATTCCTTCACAGGAAGAACCACATAACAACATTGCTGCTCCTCCGATCGAGGCTAATAACTTCAAACTCAAACCTTCCTTGTTGTCTGCTATACAACAAATCCAGTTTTATGGAGGGTCAATGGAAGACTCTAATCTACATTTATCGATGTTTCTGCAATACACAGATACAATTAAGAATAATGGAGTCAGTCAAGAGGCGATAAGACTTCGTCTTTTCCCTTTTTCCCTAAGAGACAGAGTCTGAGCCTGGCTCCAGTCTCTACCAGCTAACTCAGTTACCTCTTGGGATGAGTTAAAGAAAGTCTTTCTTGCAAGATATATCCCACCAAGTAAGACAGCTATGCTAAGATCCCAAATAAGCGATTTTCGAAAAAAGGACAACGAGTCTCTTTTTGACACTTGGGGAAGATACAAAGACATGTTGAGGCTCTGTCCACATCATGGCCTAGAAGAATGGTTAATCATTCATACCTTCTACAATGGTCTCCTTTATAATACAAGATTAATGATAGACGCCGCTGCAGGTGGCGCACTTATGGATAAATCCTACGTTGTTGCTAATGCTCTCATAGAAAGTATGGCTCAAAACCACTATCAGTGGGGAAGTGAAAGAGGTCAAGCAGACAAACCTCCCGTAGAGAAAGCACCAACAAAAGGCGGTATGTACGAGATCAGCAATCTTGATAGCGTCCATGCTAAGGTAGACGCTCTCGTCCAGAAGATAGATAACTTAACCGCAGTAGCTCCAGCCACCGTGGCTGCTATAACTCTGAATTGTGAGATATGTGGAGTACCTGGACATCCTGTCGCTGAATGTCAAATCTTAGCAGGACCCCCCCCCCCCCCCCCCCACGACCAAGTACATTATGCTCAAGGAAATCCTTACTCAAACACTTACAAAGATGGAGAAATCATCCAAATTTCTCATATAAGAACACCAATGCGTTGTATGCGCCTGGACAAGCATCTGTTGTACAACCAGGATATTAAAAAGAACCTACAACTGCTCTTAACATGCCTATGAAGTCCAACCTCGAAATTCTGATGGAAAATTTTATAGCTACCCAAGCTCAAACTAACAAGGAATTTCTAAACCAAAATATTCACACGAGTGAGCAAATCAAATAGTTGGTGAACAAAGTAGATGCTTTAGCCATCCATAACAAAATGCTTGAAACCCAGATTTCACAAGTGGCCCAACAACAAGCACCTACTGCTGCACCTGGTGGTACATTTCCAGGTCAACCTCAACTGAATCCAAAAGGACATGCTCATGTTATTATATTACGAAGTGGAACTGAATACGATGGACCAATTGATCCTAGAGTTGAAAACCCAGCCATGTCCCAAAGTTATAGAAAAACAATCGAGGAGGAAAGCGAACCAAAAGAAAAGGAGAAGGTAGGTGATGGAGAGACAAAAGAAAAGGAAAAACCTTATGTGCCTCCGCCGCCTTACAAACCACCAATCCCGTATCCTCAAAGACTTACTCAATCTAGAAGTGCGAGGAAATTTAAGAAATTTGTTGAACTTATGAAATAATTAAACATCACGATACCATTCACATAAGTTATCACTCAAATGCCCTCGTACGCTAAGTTTCTCAAAGAAATCTTGTCAAATAAGAAAAAGATAGAGGAT